GCCTTTCGCCTGCGTAACCGCGCCAGTCTCCCACAGCTGCGGCGGCGGCAGCAGTGGCGACCTCGGCAGTTCCAAGACACTGGGCGGGGCCGCCACACTTCCCACACCCCGGCCTCCCCGCCTTTTCCCGCCCCCACATCAGCCCTACTTCCGGGATAGGTCCCGGCGCGTCATAGGCACCACCCTCTCGCGCTACCATTGGCTACAAGGTTCCCGAGGCCCCTCCCAGTCACGTGAAGAGCGCCCTGGCAACCCCACGTGCTGCGGATTAGTGCACTTCCGGCGTGAAGAGCACTTTCTGGAGTTCGGTTGCTGAGGGTAAACTCGCTGGCAAGGAAACTTGCTCCCTCAAACTTTTAGGTTCGTTACGTTCGGGTCCCAGTCGAAGTTAACGGGAACCAAGCCATGCACTCGGTGGCCCTTGACGTCAGGCGCGTGGCGGTTGTCATGTGGCGGCTGCCAGAACTCGCGACGCATGGGCCTTCAACGGTTGTGCCTCGTGACTGTGGAGGGAACTTTGTGTTCCAACTTCTGGCCCAACTTGCAGCCATACTTGGCGTTGAAAACCATGCTTCTTTCTCGAGGAACAGCGCGAGTGCAGTATTTTATTACGTGGCTCCCACTGTGGGTTTTGCAGGGGACCCTAGCCACCCCTGATGAGATTCCAGCAGCCACTGCCGCTGCCGCTCCGCCAGGATCCGCCGCGCTCCCAGGGGTGGGAACTCCTGAGACGTCCGCCACCTAAAAAGCAGCGGTGAAATGACCTAACTCACTCCTCACATCAGAGGCTGTTAAGGAGTTTTGCAGGCGAATGGGTGTCTGATTCCTACTGCATTGTCCAGACGAAAGATGTTCTGCCAGATGCAGCTCTTCCTTCCTCCTGGCATTGGCATTCCTTTGAGTTTGAGGTATGTACGTACCTCATTAGACCAGTTGGGTTGTCTTGGAATCAATGTGGAGCCAATAGCGACTTGAATAGGATTAGGATTGAGATTCTTAGAAAGAGATGCGTTCTCCTTTTCTCAGTGGTTTCACAGCCCACCACATTCTCCTACCTTGGAGAGGTGACCTTTACCCCAGTTTATGTGGCCCTGTGATTTTGTATTGCTGTCTCATGAAAAATCCCATTTCTCACTTCCCTATGTGGCTCTAAGTTTTTTCACAGATATTTCACACATGTTGTCTAATCTAACCTTTACAATAAGTAAGTGAACTCTCTAAACTGAGCTCAGCCTGTACCTAATATGTGAAAGAGCCAGATTAGAACCCTGGTTCATGAGTCCGCTCTGCTTTTCCTTACACCACCTAACCTTTCCCATTATTAGGACAGTTACAAATATTTAAAGAATATTTATGTAAGCAGGTAGTGCATTATTCCTTTAATTTTGACTGTTACTCCTTTTTTAACTTCAAATTTACTAAGTTATAACTTATACAAAGTGGAATTTACCCTTTTTAGTTCTATGAGTTTTTAAGAACATAGGCAGCTAAGTAACTACCACTATAATCCTATAAACAAGATATAGGATATTTCCCTCATTTCAGAAGTTTCTTTGTGCCTCTTTGTGGTCAGTCCCCTCCCGCCACACCCAGCCCCTGGCAACCATTAGCAACTACTCTTTAGTCTACATTTTCAGTTGTGGAAAAAGGCAGAGAACAATTGAGTAATTTGCCCCAAATTACACAGCTAGCGAGTCAGAGAGCCAGGATTGAACTCTAAGGCAGTTCGGCTCCACAGTCACTGCTACCACCATATACTACCACATGCTGCCTATATACCACCGTATACTGCATTCACACAAGATTTGGATTTGGTCAAATGATCCAGCGTCATTCATTCAATATAGCTGATTCTAGTAAAGTTGCTGGAACATTCAATTAGCAAATACTGAACTATTGCTACTAGAGGAAGTACATAGTACGTTCCTGTGAGCATGACAACATTTTGGTCAGCTAATATATAATCTTGCTTTATGTGTGTTTCTGTTTGAAGACACTTTATTTAATATATATTGGTTCATTAACATTTAACTCACAGCCAACAGCACTGTAATTCATACCCAAAGGAAGCTTATCTAACACATATATGTTCTCTGTAAGGCACATCACAGCCTTCACGTGCTTAGAAACACTAGACAGCACTTCAGTACTATGCTTGGGGACCATTTTATATAGCCAAGTCATCAACAGAAGTCACAAAAATGTGAAAAGTGGCACTTATAGACTGTGAAAAGAACACTTGTTTACAGTTTGATAGCTCAAACAAGAAGGCAGAGCATTGCCTTGTTTGATCTGGCTAGGAAAATGTGTATTGGATGACTCAAATCTTCTGCTATTCTATGAATGTCCACAAATGACCACGAAAGCACAGTGAGTATTGATTTTGGGGTTACAAGTATATTTTAGTGACTAGGCATATTCACAGATATGGAATCCATGAAAAATGAGAATTGACTTTTTATCTTAGTGCTCTCAGCACTGGAATTACTCTGTGGACCAAGATAGCCCCTTGTTCACTAGATGCTTGCCGTCCAGTGCAGGATACCATCTAGCAATTTTAACAGATAGAATACTGCTAAAGAAATAACTACAGGGTGCTGGAAAAAAGGGCTTGGTCATCCTCATCTGGTCTAGGTATTGTCCAATTGAAATATAATGCAAGCAGCATGTAATTTTGAGTTGTAGCCACATAAAAAAGTAAAAAAGATGAAATTAATTTCAATAATATATTTTATTTAAGCCAATACATTCAAAATATTATTTCACATGTCACCAATATAAAAATTATTAATAAGATAATTTTACATTTCTTATACTAAGCCTTCAAAATCTGCTATAGACTACATCTCAATTAAGACTAGCCATATTCAAGTGCACAATAGCTGTGTGTGACTGGTGGCTACCATATCGAACATCACAGGTCTAGAAGATTTAAAGATTACTTCTCTGGGGGTGATATCTTAATTTGAGATCTGAAAAGTGAGTGAGGGCAATGAGGAGGAGTTTGGAAATGTCATTTTAGGCAAAAGGATTGGGAGTACAAAGGCCTATAGGTGTCAGAATTGTGGCATCATCCTGGACTGCATATGGTTTAGTGTGACTGGTGTGTACTCTAAAAAGAAATGGGTGAATTTAGATTTTCTCCCAAAGGCAATAGAGAAACAGTGAAATGGTACATAAGAAAATGACAAGAACATATTTTTTATTTAGAAAGACCATTCTGGTTGTGATAAGGAGAATTTTTAAGGGGGAGAAAATATTGGAAATATGAAACCAATTAGGAAGAAATAGTTAATGTTGGTGAACAAAGGTGGTGGCTATGAGAATATAGAGAAGACGGATTCAAGAGAATTGTAAGAGAAAATGGAAAGAATGTCATAATTAATTGAATGTTGAGGGTCAAAAGGGAAGGGAGACACAGGATGTGAAGAAGAGGAAAGAGTCAAATTAAAAACTGGAAAGATGGTGGCACCATTTGTTGAGATAGAAAATATAAGAGAAAAAACAAGTTTCCAGGGAAAATTGAGTTCACTTTTAGGTAGATCAAGTTTAAGTTTCCTGTGGGAGAGAGTTATATGTTAAATAGAGATAGACATATGTGAATCATCAGTATATAGATGGTGATTAATGCTAAAGCAAGAGACTCACAGCTTTAAGGACACAGACTGAAAGTGAAGGGATGGAGGAAGATATTCCATGAAAATGGAAACCAAAATAAATCTGGGGTAGCTGTACTTAGACAAAATAGACTTTAAGACGAAGGCTGTAATAAGAGGAAAAGAAAGTCATATAATGATATCAGAGTCAATCCCAGAAAATGGATTAACGTTGGTAAATATTTATGCACCCAGCATGGGAGCACCTAAATA